AGACGCTGCTTGAGCACATTGTATGAGACATCGTGGGATGTAAGATGGTTTAGTTTATTGTAGTTTATTGTAGTTTATTGTTGTTTATTGTTGTTTATTGATATTGATATTAAAATGTAGGGGGCACTGGGATATTCTGGTTTCAAATTCTAGTAATCCTTCTGGGACCTTAGGTATATAAACCGTGGGTATACTTGTATACTTCAATGAGGTCACCACGCAGACGTCGACAACAGAGGCTTGGAAGCTTCATAATTTTTAACCTTTCCTCATAAGGCTGGCCATTTATTCACGTGATTATCCTTGTTACACGTCTTTGAACACGCTCGACTAAATTTTTGTCCTTTTCCAGTTTTGGTGACCACACGGCGTTTCCAAACTCTAGGTTTGGACGCACGACAGACACAAACAACTGCTTCATCACTTCTGCATCTAGGAACTCGTAAGAGCGTCTGATTAGTCCAAGAAGTTTGTCGGATTTATTTTATTAGCTTGCGTTTCAATATACTTAGAAAATTTCAGCTCCTTATCGACATAAACTCAGAGATCTTTTTCCACACTAGACTTTTTGATCATTACTCTTTCGTTGCAACCATGTCTTCTCATACTGTAATCTTGCTGTTTATTGTTCTTCTCGACGAGAAGTACTTTACACTCGTCAGCATTAAACGGCAGCTGCCACGTATCAGCACAGTTAACTAAACTGTCTAGAACTCTAGATCACCTTGCGATTGCGCTTTATTTGACGCATCCTTCGTCGGCATACATGGAGCACACGCTGGACACTACTTCTGGCAGATAGTTTATAAAGGTTACGAACAAACAGGCCCAAGAACTATTCTTTGTGGCACGCCACTGCGCACTGATGACCAGTCTGACACGGTTCCGTTAATACTGACACGTTGTAGTCTACCTACTATAAAATCCCTGATTCATTGGAGTACGTTTCCCTCAATTCCCAAAGACTTCACTTTACGCAACAGCGCTCATGCGGAACACTGTCAAATGCTTTAGTGAAATTGAGGTACAATGCATCCACTGGCTCCCTTTCGTCCAGCAGGCGAGTACAATCGTTCAACGTAGACAAAAAGTTAGTGGTGCGGGATTTACCGGCAATAAAACCATGTTGACAGTCTGATAGGAAATGGTGAACAGTCAAGTGATCGATAATCCGATCCCTCACAACAGATTCCATTACCTTACACACAACACTTGTCAGACTGACCGGGCGATAGTTACCGGGGCTACTTTTGTCACCTTTTTTGAACAATGATGTTACTTGAGCTTCATTCCAATCGGACGGCAAAGTTCCTTCGTTCAAGGTTTTTTGAAAGAATACTGTCAATGGGCCGGCCAGAACGGTTGTTAATTCTTTGAGCAATCTGGAATGGAAGCCTTCTGGTCCACATGACTTGTTGGGATTTAGAGCTACCAGGCGCTTGAGAACCTCTTCTACGTCACGTGTATTTACAAACCTGTTAACTTCGAGCCGACTGAGCGCTCCTCAATATCTGAAATACTGTTCAAGTCCTCATCTGTGAACACACTGCTGAAGAACTGATTAAGAACGTTTGCGTTGCCCACACCAGAGGAAATCTTTCGTTGGTCTACTTTCAAATCAGATATGCCGTTGTTTGTCGCACACTTCAAACTAGCGTACAAAAGAAGACTTTCGAATTATTATTATTATTTTTTAATTTTAGCAATATTTTTTCGAAGTTTTTCACTGTAGTGCATCAGACCTTTTTAGCTTGATTTCGAGCTCTTGCATACATGTAATAATCAGAATAGCTGCGCGTTCGTAAATAACGGTTGTAGGCGTTCTTTAGCTGAGGTCTTTAGCTCTTGGTCTTTAGCTGAGCTTTAACTGTGCTGTTCATCCACTGGGACTTTTTGACTCCTCCAAGCGTAAACTTAGGTACACAGGCATCAACTGCAGACATGACCGTGTCTTTCGGAAATGACCAGGAATCAGCCACATTCATGTCTTTAATACCGTCCGAAATATTCGCCGCATTCACCGCTTCACTGAGTTTACCATAGTGGCCTTTCTCAAAGTTCAAAAGTTCTCGCTTCCGAAGCGTCTTTTATGCACAGCACTTATTACGGAAAAACAAGTATTGGTGGTGGCTTTTGCCCAACGGAGCCTCGTGGCGAAGCTCATCTATAGTTGATTCTTCACTAGTAAACACTAGAATTAGAATATTTGGGGTTTGTTTACCCCTAAAATGGGTTGGCTTGGTGATGTTCTGGATTAAAAATGAGTCTCGCACAGACTCCAAGAACAGGGATGTTCGGTGATTCCCATCTCCTGGAGAAGATTCATCTGCCCAGTATATTTCTGGATGGTTAAAGTCACCAACGATCGACGTATGTGACCTGCTGAAAGTCATGCTCGGTAAAAGGCTGTTTATACTTTATAGTTGTCAGAGGAATTGTTAGGTGATCTATAAAGGGCCGCTATGAGGAGGCTAGCTTTGCCTTATAGGGTAAGTTCGCACCACACTGATTCTCTAGCCTGACTGATTGATGCTATGCAGATTACTTAACTTGCTGGGCCCCATAAGAGGTTCTAATCCACAGAGCTACACCTCTACTGCGCTGCTCTTCATTTAGGTTATGAAAACACTCAAAATCTCGGCAACGCTCAATATCGTGCCTGTGCAACTTCCCCACGTGTGTCTTCACACACCGCGCAACCAAGAGCATCTCGCCGAGCCAAGCACCTTGTCTTCACGACTGGCCACTTACAATTCCTCCGGGATCATCATAATCGAGCAAGTCGCGTGGACTTAATTGAAAAGTGTCAATTGTAAATGTTGTATTAATTACCGACCAATTACATCAAGCCGCTCCTCGAATTTCTGACTGTTCTAGTGAAAATAACTATAATCACCTTGGCCTCAATAATCCCTGATAGGAGTCAAATAAATATTGAACGTGGTCGGGCACTTAGCCCTCCACACCATCATCTTCCCAAGAATCGGCAATAGGCCACATCAGGCCTACTCTTCAGCGCCGACATCACTATGTTATGTTACGTTATTACTCCTCCAGCAAACCATCCAAAGCCCTAACGGGTTCCACCTTTCCAATCTAAACCAAACCCCACCCACCTACAATGTATTATAGTTGTATACGATGCGGCTTTTTCATCTCCTTCTGTCCATTCCATTTATTTTTATTCGTTCTGGTCACTCTGTGCCACCTCTTGTTTTTTTCTACAACTTCCTAGTTGAAAGCAAGCAAATAATATAGAATACGAAATAATATATGAAAGAGAGGTGTGGATTACAGGCCTCTAGTACGCACTTCGCAGGACATCTAAAATCGACAACAGATAGTGTGTGCATATAACCCGCTGTGGTTGCGCATAACGAATATTTCCCAAATGAATGTGCGTTATGCCAGTTTCTGACGTCCAGAATTCATCTGGCGTTCTCAAAGGCTCATTAAATTTTGCCTTGAAGCCTTAATTGGAAAATTTGCTCATAGAATGTGCCCTACCGCAGCTCAGTAAAAATGTCATTTTCTTCTGGGAGTTGAATATTGTCCTTGAAACATTTCAGCTGAAAAATAAATGCTTAGATGGCATGTCAACCCATGTTGCACCTAAGAAAAATTTTGTTTCGAACGATACTCAGGATGAAAAAACACACAGATGAATGAATAAATAAACAAGCATTCTTCACCTCACGCTAAAATATGTTTTGTTTAATTAACAGACAGCTCCAAATCACTAATGATCATTTGGTTTAACTAAGACGTATCCTAACTGCTTGCACAACGGGTCGGATAATTCGTACTTTTGTAGTAACAGAAATTAAGAAATTAACTAATTGAAATGCGTACATTGGCATTTTATTGGAATTATAGCTAAATGCACAGTAACGAACTCATAATTGCGGCAAGTATTGATGTAAACGGCAATAAAATCAGAGATGAGAGACACGGTATAAAAACGATTAATAAACGGGTAAATAATTAACAGATCAGTATTCATAACACGTTCAGCGGTGTCGTTGACTAATTATATAATATCAGTATTTCCTCTTATAGACACAATATGTTCCCTTGATCTTACAAGGGAACGACAATTTAGAGTTCAATACAGTAATTATTATCCCTGTAACTTAATAGTCATTGCAGTAGTGTTGATCGCCGTGACGTTACTTGGCATATTTCAACTAGTTACGAAAACACTATTTTTTTAATTTTATTCTGTTGCTCTAGGGACGCTCACGCGATGGCGGAGTTTGCAACAAAGATGCCGTCATTGGAAGTAATTTTACACGCTGGGGCGGAAGCATGTGGCGCGTCGGACACGACCTGTCCTGAAGCCATCATCTCCGTTGCATTTGGTCCGCTGTTCTTTGCGATGACATTTTGGAAAATTTCATTGTCGCCGAGGAACTCCTTAAATTCAGGTCTTGAGTACATGGCGTATGAAAAGAACCCAAACACGAGCATCTCCACCAGAAGAACTGAATTCTCGAGAGCTGGCAGACCAAAGAAGAACGCAAGTTAATTAGTGCTTACTGCTTAGAGACGGGCTCATGACTGATTCACTCATGTAAATATATAGATCTTTGTATTTTTAGAGTGATTGGAATTAATAAGTTATAATTTATTCCTACTGTAACGAAGAAGAGGTCATTTTATGTCACGATGGCACGAGAGAAGAGGCTCGAGGTATGGCGCCTCAACGCCCCAAATGGGTCGTCTGCCTTAAGTCGATAAAACCTTATCTTTATTTTTCTGGTTCAGAATCGTATAAGTTTCCTTTATGATGAATTATTAGAATAAACGTTTGAATATTTCCATTATGACACTTCACATCCTTTCAAAGTTAACCATTAATCTAATTAACGTTGTCCACTTACTGTTTTCGTACACCACTGGAGTGATGAATTCGTTGAGGCACGGAAATACGCCGTTGCTACCAAGGACGTTGAAAAGAAAGGCTTGCAGTTTAGTTGTAAGGATGAGGATTTTCAGTGCCATAGATTTAACCTGTTAAGTGAAAAATTAAGTTGACCCGAAAATATTCGAGTAATTAAAGCCGCATTGGTTAAATGAGCTCTGTAATATTCGTTGATGTGTGAATAGTTAATCCTAATGAGGTAATGTAATAATAATGTATAGGTACAATGAGGAATTCATTATAAGTAGGGAAGTGAACGTACATTACGTTGGAAAAAATCTCAGTGGACCGGACCAAAAACGAGCACCAAAATATGAAGAATATAAACAGAATAAACAGGAAAATCGGTCATAACTTTTTTATTCAAGTCTCACACTGTATCGGTAAGGGAAAAGATCCTGCCGCACGAGATTTTCCAGGACGTTCAGCGCGTAAACGCCGCTCAAGAAACTGGCGAAGTTCAGCATCGTCAGGATGACGGCCACGGTGTTATTGCTAACCTGTGTAGCAAGGGTGAATGTTTTCATCATTTTTATGAAAAATAAGTTTCAAAGGGAATAACCGCTTCTCTTTCGCACCATTTTCGTGAATTTTTTAAAACTGTTATGGAGATTTTCAGCTTAGTATATAAAAAACCATTAATGAACCGGTAAATGTGCGTTTAAGAAACAATGAAAGATAATATCAACCCATGCAAGCCTCATATAGGAATATTTTTTTACAGAAATAAAATCAATAAGCACTCATAAATATATTGGTCATTTATTTGACAAGGCGTTGTAAGTGTATATGCCCGGGGCTATCTGTCGTCTTTCGGACGTAAACAATATATCGTCATCTATGGAGAGATCGGGTTCCAAAGGCCGGATCCCTTGTGAATCAAGTCACGAAAAATTCAAGAATCGGCAACAGGCCATGGGCCTATTTCTTCAGTGCCGACACTTCTATTATATTCTATGAACAAGAATCGGCAACAGGCCATGGGCCTATTTCTTCAGTGCCGACACTTCTAGTCTATTATATTATATTCTATTATATTATATTATATTATATTATATTATATTATAAAAATAAAAACCACGCACATTGCCTCTAGAATCTTGCAGGCCGTAACGAACATAGGCGTTGAGAAAGAAATAGGCAGCCTGAGTGTACTTCATTTGCCAGATCATCCACTTCAAGAACTGAAAACGCATCCTGTTGGAATCATCTTGCATAATCATAACACTCAATTCAAACGTGCAAAGAATTGTTAAAGGTACGAGTACGAGCATACAATAATATGAGTACTTCCCAACTTGCATGCAATAGATGAACACTCGACAAATATTTCAGGATTTTCCTCTTAAATATTCGTCACTGTTCAAATGTGGGTAAGTAATCAGGTGAGACTGACGTTATGTTAAGTGGTTTATCAATATATGTGGGTTGGGTTGGTATGGTATAATATTAAGCATTCCCTAACGGAAACCTTACATCTTTGTTGTTTGGACAAAATAATTATTTTTTTTAATCTTCATGGATATTTGCACTTTTAGGGTAGATGTGTGGCCGAAATTGAGTATGTGCTTTAATACAGAATAAATTTTTGTTTGATAGAAAAAAAGAACAATGCCGTATTGAAATGGTTTCTTACTTTTTGTATAAGAAACATATGGGGTCCGCTAATAATCAGGAAAGATGGCTAATTATTTACCGGTATTTTTTTACATGCGTTAATAAGTTCTCACTTTCTTCATCAAGCACAATTTATTCATGCCTTAATAGTGAAAGATTCCTCAACCCACACACCACGGTACAATCATTCTTGCGACATCCGTGGGTACAAAGCATGCCCGTGCACTTCTGAATATTAATTAAAATCGTAATGAAGTAGCTCATAATAATTTAAACATGCACACAAAATTTGAAGGAACCTCAGCGATGTTGAGGTACACGGCCAGGAAATAGTAGATGAACTGCGTTATTGGCATCTGGTAAACCAACGCTACGGTGAGTCGCAGAGGCCACCTGCATTAGGAAAGACCAATGTCCAGCTGAACTTACTTAATATTTTCGTTTATAGTCTAAATCATGTCATGATATGGGGCATCATAATATGGAGCTAGACAACGGGCATCATTTGCTTATGAATAGTCACTAATTCAATGGAAGCAGTAAAACCGCCAAACATATATAAGAGAGGAGGAAATGTTTTGTAAATTAGATAATTCAATGTGTGAAAATTAGGAAAACTGAGAATTGTCACTGTAATGATATTGAGTGGACGAAAAGATAATAATGTCGATGTGTGCGGACTTGGAAGTAGGGGCTTGGGTAGGCAAGTTATACTTCTACTGACTTGGAAGTAGGGGCTTGGGTAGGCAAGTTATACTTATACTGACTTGGAAGTAGGGGCTTGGGTAGGCAAGTTATACTTCTACTGACTTGGAAGAAGGGGCTTGGGCAGGCAAGTTATACTTCTACTGACTTGGAAGTAGGGGCTTGGGAAGGCAAGTTATACTTCTACTGACTTGAAAGTAGGGGCTTGGGCAGCCAAGATATACTTCTACTGACTTGGAAGTAGGGGCTTGGGCAGCCAAGTTATACTTCTACTGACTTGGAAGTAGGTGGCTTTGGCAAGCAAGGTAAGCAGCAGCACAAGGGCAGCACGTTGAGCTGCAAAGGCCTATAATTGACCTGCGCCAGCATCAAATTTTCGCTGCCGTACATCAGGATCGTCAGGTCAGCGAAGTGCCCGACTCCTATGCTCATGTATCTGCAAGAATGTTACTGCCATAATTAATGACAAATTTCAAAGCTGAACTATTTGTAGAAAAATAATTATTTTAATTAATTTTTTAATTAATTTCAATTGTTTGTCTTGAACTATTTGTCACAAAATTAAGGTTGCACGCTAAGTTAATTATGTTTTTAAATTCTTGAAGAAATCGCGTGAAAGTTTTTGGACTTACTGTACAAAACAGAAGTCCGTTAAAATAACATTCGCACTAATAGCCTACATGTGTAATAACTGACTCATCTTCCGCGATAACATGCAATAAATTGTTGAATTACGAATAATTGCAAAATCCGTTAAATAAAATGTAATGATTGATATAATTAAATTTAAAATTTGGTTCCTATCAATTAATGGTAGGATGTTTGGTTTCAGTTCGAAAATTATAGCAGCATCAATAACTGAACATTTTGTCAATATTTTATTACATTGCGTGAATTCTAAGTAATTTTCATTTATCTATAAATATCTAAATTTGCATTTAGCATTATCTTTATCCAAACAGAAACTCATCATTGAGATCCATTCCTTAAGCTGCCTTGAACAATTTTGTCTGAGCAACTTGTTTTGAGTTTTACGTGATTTTGACGTGATTTGAGTCTTACGTGATTTTAACGTTATTTGAGTCTTACGTGATTTTGACGGCGCTACAAATCTCGTGAGCCCTCGGCACAACCATCGCCAGAGTGCACATCAAAGTGACCATCTGCGCAAGTGAAACTGTTTTATTGTAAGAATTAATCTGACTTTTAATTACAAAAACTTAATACTAGAGACATTTTCTAGGGACATTTGCGCCGAATTATGAGTAATTATTTTAGAAACATTCGTTGAATGACTTTTTTGTTCTAGATATAATTTAAACGAGTCTCAGGAACATAAATTTTCAATTTATGCAAAAAAATGCATATTCACCTTACGCGATGCCGCTCACAGATGCTAAATTTAAACTAATTTTGTTAAACATGTGAGGTTCGATGCGACGCAGCGACAGAAATGACTTCTTCTGGTGCAAGTCTGACTATGAAAGTCATGAAACATCTGTTCACGTATTGGTTTTCTACTCTCCAGCATTTACTTGCAAAACATAATTTTTTCTATCTAATTTACATCACAAGTTATAAGTTTCGTACCGGATAAATAGATATGAGCCAGTAGATGTGTCTTCTGAAGGCCTTGTGAGTGTTCGCGTATGTGAACCAAATTTGTTGGAAGAAGAGCAAGTATAGAAGAACTGTAGTGACCGCACCGAGAGTTGTAAAAAGGACTCCATATCCACCTAAAGCTGCGGAAAAGGACATTGAACCAAAATAATATGTGTTTAGTATAATTATACTAATTAATAATGAAGCGCTCCACTGTTAATGAACGTCTCACGATTATTAGAATTGTTCCAAGACACGGAACTCAGGAGTTGAATCTCGAACTACGTTGAGTTCTTGAACTTATACCAAAAGAGACGAGAAACTTTTATTTGAGTTTGCAATAGAATTTATCGAATAAATCGGATTCATTACAGAAATAAAATAATTTATTTTGACCATTAAGAGCTTACCTTCGCTGTACTCGCTCACGGTGGGGATGTACTCTGGTCTGAGGCAGCCCACGCTCTCGTTCAAGTCCATCACACCGGATGGCTTTTCACCTACAAAAAGTGAAAATTATCAAATTATGTGCTTATGCATGGTCATATGACCTAAACCACGCTGAGCTACACGAAGTTCACGCTATTAAACACAGATAATTGCAGCCATAACGAAAACATATAATCAAAATTTGCTAAAATTCACGAATGATCAACAAAACAAACGGGAAAAAAATGATTTATTTACCGAAAATAAATGCAAAAAACATTGAATTTGCAGAAGTATAATTTATTGGAAAACAATAACGTATGTTTGGAAAGTTTAAGCCTAAGTTTCTAATCGCCCGGACCAATCAATTGTGTCGATGGCGAGCTGATGAATGCAGCGGGCAGCGACCTGCGGTCCCATATCAAGTCTTGCCACGGTGCTGGTCGAGGAGCGGATCTCACGGAGTAGAGATAAAGGTTCAGAAGAGGCACAACCGATGACAGAATTCTATTTATAATGCCTTCTATTACGCCGCGAATGGTTTTTATTTCTTTAGAATTTCAGCATTCATAATGCTGATGAACGTATTTATAACCGTCACGGCTACGCGCCGATATCCTGTCGTTAAAGACAGTCGTTAAGCTGTAAATTATGTTTAACTATTCTGAACATGTTTCTTGGGCAAACTAAGCAACACGATGACATTCAGATCATAGAAATGCTAGTTTAAACAATTGAATTAAGGATTTACTCTCTAGATTCAAATTAACGCTGTTCGAATACTTGCAAGTTACTTATATCTCTACTCAACGATATTGTAACTGTGGTTGCATATTGCATTGTGTGTGGTTAATTTGGACAAATTAATGTAACACTTGTACTTGCAAGTAACATGTAACCCAACATCATTAAAACTCGGCTCACGTACACAGCATTTCTGAATGCGATCGCACTCGATCTTGTGCAAGAGGAAACAATAACTATTTCGAGTGCATTCCACATTATTAGACAAGTCAAATAAATATGCATTTGTTCTAAGCTTGATGTCTTTCAACTAAACTTTGGCACCACTTCTCTGCGTGTGGTCTGTTAGAAAAAATCTGATATATGAGAGCTCAACAATCGGCGCTAATTTTCGTTCCAGAGCAAGCTTTTTGCAGTTTTGATTATGAGAGTATTTATAATAAAGTATATGTTCTGGTGAAAAGAAGTTCAAGACAATAAAGAAGAAGTTTATCGACAACGGACTAGAGTGGATATACCAGATAAAACATTAACACATAAACCCATGTAATATCACGGAACTTATATATATACGCCATAAGCTTCCTCATTTTTACGTAGGTTCCAAGGACCTCTGCCCTTCACGCAGCTCTATTGAATTTGTAGAGGTTATGTTTGCCTCGTGTGCGACGCTCTAAGCAAACGATTCATTACATCCTCGAGACCTGTGTCATCCGCGAGACCTGTCCATGGCTATACGGTCGTACCAATAACGATGGCGACACGAAATTGGACCCCTCTCTTCTCTGTTTGAATCTCAAACGACGAGGACGGTAGGCTGTGTTAAAATTAGACCTTTTCTCTCTCCAATTGATCCATATATCGGGGAGCACGGCGCTCGTCAATTAATGCCATGAGCGCGTCAAAATATATCTTCCACCATAATGTTTAAACGTGTCTAATTTAAGGTCCTCACAGCCACTTGCATTATACGACAGGAGGCCACCATCAGTTTAGTCTCCCCTCCACGCACGAGGAACCTTATATTTTCTCTTTTCGTCGTCTTTAGCGCATTTTCTCATATATGAAAAAAATGTACTATTGTGCTCGCCATGTCCGTCTGTCCGTCCGCCCGTCTGTCCGTCTGTCTGTCCGTCTGTCTGTCCGTCCGTGGCTTCATGTTTTCGTCGAAGAGAAAATGCGCTCTCTGTCACTCACTGCAGTGAGTACTGAGTTATATTTTTTGGATATATTCATTGAACATGCTGGCTAATAATATATTATTTACATGAACACAAGACCACACAAAGAGTAAGGTTTCAGTTCACGGTTAGATCATGTTCCAACCCCATATTGACATATGATATACGAGATTTTGCCTCATAATTTACGACAATGAAAAACTTCAATGTCAAATCTGTACATCTACTGATATCTAATTTACTTCGATGCAGCTTCTGTAGAAGAATGCTTCCATTGTGCAGTTTGAAGTTGGGCGAAACAGAAAAGTTTAAGTCGGGTAGTAATGTAAATAAAAAGTTTTAAGTCGGGTACATCAGTAAATAAAACGTTTTATTTGCGGAAATATGACTGCTCTCATAATGTGAGCCGCAGTGTATATTGACCACTACCGCCGCGCGAGCTTATATTGTTTTCTTATGTATTTTCATCGCCCCTCCGAAACAGTTACTATTAAAGCTGCGGTTGCGCCAGGAATATGCATAAGAAACACGATTAAATTTCGAAAAGTATACACTGCAACATGAACGAATAAGAGGTTGCCGGACTCATTCTTAACATTCTCGACCTAAAAAATGCTACAGAGCACTTGCAGATCAGCCAGTGCTTTATTTATTTGTTTGATTTTAATTTCTGGAGCTCCAAAGATTATTATTTCATTTTGTAGTTGACAAATATTTCATTAAAGGTCAACTACATCCATGTACTACAATATATCTCACATGGTTCTGACTATTTGAGCTGATCTCGGTCGTGCTTATGACTCCACTCTGAAGTTCGTAGAATCAAATTTATTCGAAGCCATTTCCACTGGACGAGGTTTTGTTAGATGTTTTCACAGATAAACTAAGCGACAGACCAACGGGAGCTAACGAATTATGCATGTTATGATTCTCTTATCTCGATATCGCAATACAATAGGGAGTTAACAATCACAGATTAGCGCAAAAGATATTGTTACGATCAATCACTGACATTGATAACTGAGTCGTAGAATATGGATAGTATTAAGTTCTGTGAGTCATCGAGTTATGCGGACGCAAGAAATTGCATGGGTGGTGGCTAGATTATTATGGGCAATATTCGCAAACATTTCACGAGCTGAGACTGTTGCAGTCTATTTTGGTGGTTAATCGGAACCTTATACTGGTGATATCCACAAGAATTACGAAGTTATTCGCTGTCTAGCGAATAGCACGACCCCAGAGTTGATTTTATCCGGCAAGCAGAGTGGCTCCCGAACTATACTTCCTATTAGCGGGAGCCTCTTCAAGGCAATGTGGACCCGACAGGCGGAAACTTAAGCCATCCAATCTTCAACATTTTCCTTAACTAAAAATTATTTCAGCTAGCTACAAATCCTATCAATAAGAACAAACGCTTAGATGATTTGTAGAACAAAGCTATAGTGACGCATGTACAGAAGCTAGATATCTAATGCACAAGCGGGGGATGCAAAGTTAACTCGCTACCGCAGTATTTCGCTCTCCTGGAACATAACTTTCAACTTAAATTATACGTAAACTATTGAGTGTAGCACCTGAGGACGTTGTACGCAACAGAGAACATTTTAAAGTTGTCGTCGGTGGCGGCTGCCATAAGTGCAAGTTATGTTGCGTTCACTAGAACGTATCCTTTTTCGGAAGTATACGCGTATGACAATACTGCTCTGTGGTTACTCATGTCAGGCGGTAGAGGGTTAATTGCAAGTTAGCACTTGGATGCAGTATGATAAATCAGCTGCAAAAAGTGCGAAAACGTCGTATGTGAAAGTCATCCTTTATATCGATATTACAGATGACAAGAAGAGAACTAGGAAAATTTTGCGATGACACTAGGCTGAGGTATTCATCAAGTGAATTTTTATACATTCTAAAATTCTAGGGCGAAGGGTTAAGTGAATTTTACTCATCAGAAAGACAGCTTGGTACATTCTTACTTATGTGCCTAAATCACTAAATGTATCTCTGCTACATTTTTTTTCAGTTGTGGTATGGTTGGTTTTTCACCGACTTATAGTGGCCATTATTTTTTTCACATGTTGCAAGTGGCACGCATTGTTTATTTACATTTATTTAGCTAATGCTTATTTATCTGTTATTTAATTAAAAGTGACGACGGCACTTTCCTTCCTTATCTTAAGTTATGTTACTTGGTCTCACTGATGTCGACCGTTTGCTGAACCAACTCCAGGGACGAACATTCACCGCGGGCTTGTTTTAAAAACCGTCTCCGGTATCACAGATACCATCGTTACTTTATACGAGACACTCTGAGGAGCAGGCACAGTAACGATTCCTTGGAATACTGTACACATTTTCAGGCATTTTTCATGAAAATGTTATATAATACATTATTTAAACGATATTTGCCCATTCTTTTTCAATTTTTCTATTACCATTCATACCTTCCTCAAAAACTCTTCCTAAAATTTTCCGATTCTTTTGGGTATGCCAAATTTTATTATATTTTCGTCGATAGCTTGAGTATAAAAATGTTACCGAGATGTACAAAAGACCAAGAAAGTTAGGAAACTACTGTTCGTGCGCTTGAATGGAATGTAAGCCATGATTGAACTATAACTGTAACTCAAGCTATCATCTTTCGCCTTGTGGCATTGTCCTACAAATACTTTGCTTTAAAGAAACGCCGCGGTAAACCCCGCTACGCTGGAGTGCCTTGCTACGCTCAGGTATCCTGTCAGTCATGAAAAGATCCGGTCAAATGAAACGATATTAGATCTTCTGTGAACAAGGCACGAAAAGGAAAAGAATCGGCGACAGGCCACATCAGGCCTGCACTTCAGCGCCGAGATCAATATGTTATGTTATGTTATATACAGAGCTAGGCAGCGCTACTTTGAAATGTAGCGGCGCTACCGCTACATGCTCTAAATGTAGCGGGCGCTACCGCTACCGCTACAGTAAAATGTAGCGCCGCTACATTAGCCGCTACAATGGCCAAAATTATTGGAAATCTCTAAATATTTAGTGTTCTGCTATTGGGATTTACTCATAAACATTTAATGATAATAAAACATCTTCAAAACATATCAATGCAACTTCATTGCAATTAACCTAACCGAACTAGTACGGGTTAAACACAGCAAATAAAAGTTAGTTATGTTTTAAGTTTCACCTTCCCTACATGGATGTGTACTTTAATCTACCAATCTCAAAAATTATCCACATATACATATTAAAAAGCAGTCTTTTATTTGTGTATATTTATGTGGATTATTTTTGAGATTGGTAGATTAAAGTAGACATCCATGTAAGGAAGGTGAAACATAAAAATAACTGTAAGTAAACTGAAACATGAAAAAATACCTGTAAGTGGTAACTGGTAACAACTTAACAAGTAACAACTAACATGTTGACACTAGTAACAGGCTGAGGTTGACACATTACACCGAAATCTTTCGTACAGTTTTATTCTGTAATTTATATTATGCGTCATGCTGGTTTTTACCACGTTTTTCTTAGCTCGCTTTCGTGTCTGTGATGATCAAATCTTGCAATCGATATTTCACCAACTTTCCCGCTAGCTAGCGCTCTGAAACTTTTAGGGAAGCTCAGCTCCCAATATTAAATAATATATAATATTATAAATTAAATCAAAATTCTTTATCTATAAATGTAGCGGTAGCGCTGTAGCGGCAAAACCTCGTATCGCTACTCAAATATGTAGCGGGCGCTACCGCTACAATTGCTTAAATGAAGCGCCGCTACCGCTACCGCTACTGAAAATGTAGCGGCCGCTACATGTAGCGCGCCGCTACTGCCCACCTCTGGTTATATATCAAGTCACGCCGATATATCAAGCCAGGCCGGTTTGAAAGCCAAGTCTGGTTTTTATAGGCCTGCTGAGACTGCTACGGCCTCCTGCTATGCTCCACTAGTTAAAAATAATATAATATAATAATAATATAATGATAATAATAATAATAATAACAATAATAATAATAGCGGTTTCAGCGTTTAGTAAGCCGTAGGCCTGTCGCCGATTCTTAACATCGCAGAACATTCACAGCTTGTTGCGGTCTCGAACTCGCAACTCACTGTTACAATTCTGCAGTGCTTAACCGCACGGCCTCCTTGCCGAATCTGACCAGAAACTGGCGCACAGAGCTGTCATCGAACCCGCGCCTCTCTGCGCCAATCATGGTACTCTGAACTTTTAGCACTGGGTTGTTGTTTTTCATTCCAGGTTGTCGGGGACTTTCAGACCACACAATCCTAGATATTCCCCTCAACAAAAGCATGTGATCGTCCTTCAAACCAACACTATATTTACTGAACCAAGGATGTTCAATTAATGGGCAATGTTAAACAAAAACAACTAACAAAATGGATGACAAAAATACACAAGTTGATCAAGCCTACATAACAAACCTAACCATACGCTTAAACGGTTTTATATTATAAGGAGTCCTTATCGTTTTTTGGTGGCATATTCTGATCGATAGATCAAAGAAAATACGTCAATGCTAATTGAGGAACAAGCGTTTGAACTCCAGCGACGCCAGGTGCAGAGGAGGACCGAGTGTTAGTTGACGCGTTGGTCCAACAAATGCAAAATATGTAAACCTCGATATATATTTCCAACATTTATTCTGAAAACACATATTTCGACCATGCATCTTATTTGCATTATTGGCTAATGGTTCAGTTAATTGTGAAAGGATTATAGGTTTTGCTGGCCGATCCATTTTTAGAGAGAGAAGGTAGATCATTACGAAACAGATTATTTTTGATAACGACAAACTGCAATTTATTTCTTTATCCCTTTATAACAGGAAGCATATTATTGCTGCTGTAGTTAGAAAAAAAGCCTCAACCTTGACGTCACTAGGGTGCTCGAACCTTATCAGTAACTCATTCTCAACGTTGGCTCTTCTTTCAAGTGTTTCGACGCGCTTGACGAATCGTATTGGACTACGCTGGCTCTCTGTACCATGCAGTAGAGGATGCAGGCAATGCTTGACGTGCATTGCATTGTTCTCTGGCTGATAAAGACAGGACCGATGTAACAAAACTCTTGCAATTGCTGCTGATACGAAGTTCTACGTCACTCTTTTATGAGACAATAAAATTTGAGCCTTACCTCGGTCGTGTGAAAAAGTTCACGGGCAATCATAGTTGTGGACTACAGCCAAGACTTGCGATAAGTTCCGATACATCCGAAGCTTCAGGAAGCACTCGGCGGTCAATAGAAGCCGAACTGAAGGATGTGCGGTGTATATGTTGCAATAAATTTACCTGCTTCCTTTACTTCTAAGGCCTTACCATTATTTACTAATTGCAGAAATTAGTGAAGTTAGTTTGAAGGACATAACTTATCCTACACCAAAAATAATTGGGAGCAATCATGTTCGTGAATATCACGATCAACACATATTACCTACCAAGAGCCAACTCCGTGGCCGTTGCGTCAATTTCCAAGCCTCTTAGTGAATCATAAACATGAACGAGGAGTAATCTGTTGAATTAATATCTTCAATGTGATTGTTTTCTCTCCAAGATTTGAAACTACTATAAGAAATAGATTTAAAAAATTTTGGCATGCATTCCTGGCGTATAATTTAGCGAAATCCGAATTTGGCCGAAGGTTATATATTTTTTCGTAAACGTCAATCAACAAACGTAGGAATAATTGAATTTTTTTCGAAGATAGGAAATAATTTGGTTTCTGGATTCGCACTAGTACTGGTAAATTACGTGTCAGCTATCTCCGGATGCAGGAATTGAAGACGTGTCATTTGTTTCGCGTCGTCCTCGATCGTCGCGTCAGGCCGCACGTTGTCACACTCCGTCGTCCAGCAAGAAGCTGCCCTACTGTTTATTTGTTATAAGTTTGATGTAATCGATCAAACTTTCTCAGTAGATGTCATGATGAAAGCAAAGAAACAGTAAATGGATGATTTGCTGAAATATATCAAGCATTAAAGTTTACGGCTTAACAATCGGAACATCGATGACGTAACCGCAGACAGAAGTACACTGCATGACAGTGCATTCTTCGGACGCAATAAATAGCTCAACATTTACAGCTACAAAACTTTTAAATGACTAACATCGATGACGCCAGGGATAATCGATGGTAATTGTGAGAACAAACAATAATTTTCACATGTTGTTGCACGATTGGGATCTTGTTAAGAATAAGAACCTCTTGCAGTATGACCTAGTTGTTAAGAATAAGCACCCCAGTATGACCTTGTTAAGAATAAGCACCCCAGTATGACCTTGTTAAGAATAAGCACCCCAGTATGACCTTGTTAAGAATAGGCAGTGGATTTTTTAAAATTAAATTGTTATTCTTAAAAAATTTTTAAATAGACCTAAAATGTTTTTATTTTAATTTAATTAACCTTGTTAAGAATACACACCTCAATAATGTTCTTGTTAAGAATAAGCACCCCAGTGACGACTGGGGAGCTTATTCTTAACAAGATCCCACAACTGCCCATTTCTGTATGTTCAACATTAATTTCATCAAGAATTTGAAAGTAATGAAGACACCAAGTAAATTCACTACGAATAGGCGTATACTTTCATTTTAAAATATTGATGAGCTTGAGATTTAGGAACATCAATTTGTATTAATATGGAGCTGGTTTATATGTAGGTACTGAGGAGGAAATTTAACCTAATGACAGTCTCACTATATGAGTAATTTCATTGGTCATAAATTTGTCAGTGGAATAATAAATCAATATACTTAAGAAGTGACTGTGCTCTAAAAACTTCAATAATGGCTTCATGCCTCGAGGTGTTAATCCTTCGGAGGTGTTCCGAAACAAATCAGCTTCCGATGAATGTATTACGTGTTTTCGTAGAACGCGTGTCTTATTGCTTGTACGTGCGTTATAAAATTGACAGTTCATAATAAAACATGGTATTCCGTACCTGCGAATAAATGATAATTCGTGCACTCAATACTGTTCTGGAAAGCATTTCAGATTATGCGGAAGCGTCGAAAACTTGACACGCGTTCAATTTAACGGGAACATTAGAAAATGCTCATGAACGAACTCCTTATACGAAGCTGATAAACTTTGTCTGATGAACGCAGACAAATGTTTGAATTTTCATTTGGGGCATTTTTTTTAAATTGTATTTCTTGCACCAAAATTTAGTTTAAGATAATAAGGTTCAGGAAGAAGCAGCATAAAGCAAAACAGCGCGTACTGGAAGAGAATGCAGCAGTCATCGTAAGTAATGCGTTTCGAAAGAAATATTTTATTCAATTCTTCCACGGAAAATCCATACTACATTACTACCTAATAGGAGTAAATTGCACTTGTTCATTTCAGGTTAAATAATTGATTAGCTCATTTTAGGAATATATATTAAATCATGTTTAGAACGACACAGACAAGAAATCTTCACAATAAATACCGAATTGATTTAAGACATTCAGACACGTATGTAAAATTACAAACTCAATAGATTTGACCTAATTGAATTAATTAAGACACAGGTCATTTGAGCAAGCCAACTTAATTACTATATTAAAAATTAAAACTGAACCTAACCAGACATCTCCGCAGTCGATACGTGCGAGAACTAGGACAATTTTCGAACAATATTAAATATTAATAAGAATGTTTATCATAAATTCTGATTTACATTCATGCCAGATAGCAGGAATTAGGAACAAAGAGGAATGTTCAAATAAAATAGCGCCTAAATTCCTTAGAAAATTACCAAGGCGGAAATATTTTCCTTAGTGCCTATTAGTGAGAAAATTTTGTACAAAAAGTATCAAATAAGCTAACGTGGCAGTGGAGTAATATACCTATTTATGGACGCTATTGGGAGATTCTCAACTTGATGGTGAAGCAATGTACAATAAATGATGCTGAACCTTACAAAATGATTTATCAGTGAAGTAGAAGGCTAACTGATGTAATAAATTTAAAATTAAAGCGAGAAAGCTCTGTTTAATAACGCTTAGGGCACGAGTTGAAAGTCGAATCCTAATTTTCCATCCCAATTACGAATATTTTCAATAATTATTAGTAAAAATCTAATCGTGGGTAAAATGTTTTTGGCAAGTAAATTATTTGAATTCGTCTAAATGAGGGACACTTGATAAAAAAGTTTGAATTGTGCGTCCTTTATACGTAAATAAGGACGTATAATTTACATCGTAACATTTTAAAGCAAAAAATTTGGAGTATTATAATCACTTGTATGCTTAAATAGCAATATTCGCTATATAGAATAAATTAGTTTTGGTAGTACAGTCAATCGATTGTCCAATCGATTGTACAGATGATTGCACTTGTGTTCAACGATTTTAAACCGATGATGGAGCTGGACTCCAAATGGTTTTCTCTTTTTGAAGAAATGGTGAATTTTTGGCTATTTTATTTGATTTTATATTCTTGGAAAAGTTTGAAGTTGTTGGAATGTAATGCTAACGAGTTTCCGAGAGGACTGCGAGTGCATGACACGCATTTCCCTGCATTCATTTAAGCATCAACTATTATCAACATAAATTGAGATTATTTGGTTTGCGGCGCCACTAGCAGAGTGTGGAAAATAACAAAATATGGCCTAGAGTGGCCAGGAAGAGGAAGGATAAATGGAAAGGACAGTCGGAGATGAAAAAGGCACCTAGCGCATGATTGGATTGATTGTACATGTGTGATTAACTGAGCAACTTTGACATTTTGTCATACATGCATGATATCTTAAACCAAGCTCTCTGGTTGACCAAGTATTCTTCCGGATGTCGCTTCTGCCCCGCTGTTGCCGCCAGACGCGCCGTCCTGTTCAGCTGCTCTGGTCACGGCAAGGGACGGCCCTGTAGCAGACAGGGATGAGGCTGCTGAGGCTCCTTGTGCCTGAGACTGGCCAGTGTTTGCAGAATTTTCAGTTACATTAAAACAGCGAGTGCAGTTATGGTCTTGAAACTTTTGTTCTCCTTTGTACTCTTCGAACTCGGGCTTCGAGTACATGAGGTACGAGAAGAAGCCAAATACCAGCATCTCAACTATGAGTAACGAGTTCTCCAATGCTGTTGAAAATATAACCCATTAAAACAAAGTGAATTGTCATTAACGGCACAAGTACAACTATTATTGCTAAAAAAACAAATTTGTGTAATAACACTAAATCACTTCCCTTTCAATAGATTCAACACAACGCACTTTCTTTTCAGTTGGTATTCAGTGCAGGTAGAACTACTGTTCTCATTTGTTACTCACTGTTTTCGTACACCACCGGAGTGATGAATTCACCAAGGCAAGGAAACCCCCCGAAGTTCCCAATCTGGTTGAAGATGAACGATTGCAGTTTGGTGGTGACGATAAGGATTTTCAACAACAAACTTTTGACCTGTTATCAAAAATTTCATGTTCATGAATTTTGATCGTTGTAATGAATTATGTACTAGCTCTAGAAACACACGCAGGAGTATATAGTCAGGAACAGCCACAAAATATCTCTTTAATCATGAATGTATAAACCTACATATTCATTCTTTTAATAGTTAACAAAGATAAATCAATTAACAATCCGCACACAGATTTATAGCAAAATCCTCCACTCTGATAAATTAAAGTTAACATAAACTGCAGCAACATCCATGTAATTTGTTCTATTCAATTTATGGAACGGATAAATTCGACCAAAATAAAGCGAAGAAAGAATGAATAATGTCATTTGCGCGTCATTTCGGTCAAGTTGGAACGATCTTTGTGAATCAAGTCATGGAACATGGCAGCGATACTTCCCCAATTAAATAATAAAGTAGCTGATGGTAAGAGAAAATGTAGCAGCCAAGTCTCACCCTGTAGCGACCAGGCTCTGGCAGGACTTGTCGAACGAGTCGCTCCATGATGTTCAGCGCGTACACTCCGCTCAGGAAACTCACGAAGTTCAGCACCGTCAGCACGAGTGCGGTCGTGTTGCTGCTAACCTGTAGCAGCGAAAAAAACTTGTAAGCGAATAGACAGAATTTATCTCAATCTATCAGTAAAAAAGCATCTCATGAGGTTTTCAAGTATTTAGAGCAAGAGCTGCGTTTGAGGCAACGCTTGTAGCTGGCAGTGGAAGAATATGAATCAGTTGCAAAGAAAGTTCAATAACTGGCCGTTGTTCATACAGTGAGAAGAAACATGCACTCACTATTCCAGAAGAGTCCTGCAAACTGAAGCGAGCATAGACGTTGAAGAAGTAATATATTGCTTGTGTGAACTTCATCTGCCAGATCATCCATTTCAGGACCCGCAACCGCATCCTGTGTACGGCGAGAAATAACGATATTAATTCGACACATTTAACGTAACTTCGCTGAGCAAGGGCTGAGGGACTTGCTAAGGTTCGCTGAGTAAGGGCTAAGGGACTTGCTTTCGCAAGTAAGGGCTGAGTTTGTGGCAGAGAATTTATAATAAAGACACAAATGGTTAAGGCATGCAAATATTTAATTTCATGTTGTTCAAGACTGATAAGACAGAACGAAGTTTATCAATGCATGTGGAGAAATACAATGCATACAATATTCATTTCTCTGCAAGTTAATGAATGCATCTAAGTTTAATTGTGACTAGATGAATTTCTCCATTGCTCCTGAATGAAAGTTCCTAGTCGCAGTTTAGCGCGATTTTACCTACCAAAATTGGACGAAAACTACCACTAGTTCGATGTGCTTACCTGGAAATGACGGGCTTAGGTAAGCAAGGCAAGCAGCAGCACAAGGGCAGCACGCTTAGGTCAAGCTTCCGATTCTCGACGGCCTCCAACATCTTATTTTCGCCACCGAACATCAGGATTGTCAGGTCCGCGAAGTGCCCAATCCCGACGCACATGTAACTGCGCCAACAATCAATTTTCGTCAATAATGAAGGCTATGAGGTTATCTCGTATTAAAAGAATTTTTCCATTAAGTTTTAAAACGAGCTCATGCATATTTTCATTAAGTCCCAACGATTGTTGCCATAAAGCCGCCATCTATCGGGTACAACGTTTCACTAAAAAATACTAAAATAATATTTGTATTCAAGGCCAAACTTCAAAAGCACCAAATATACACTCACTGGAAAACATTTTTCTCGCAGAAAAAGATGGTGCATAATTTTATATTATTACAGTGATTATGGAACTTAGCAAATACTTGTTCAGCGCAAATAACATTCAATAATTCAAACCGGGGTAAAGTTACTGCTGATCAAATACTTTTGTGTGATATAACTCACGTGATTTTAACCCCACTGCAAATGTGGTGGGATCTCGGCACGATCAACGCAAGTGTGCTCATCAGTGTGACCATCTGCGCGAGAGAATAAATATCGATTCTGATCAAATCAAAACTTGTGATAAATTTGTTATCATGCAAAAAATTATACGCATCATTGGGGTTAACCTCTAGTTGCCTGTTATTACTGAACTGATTAAAAATGTATTGCATCATTTGTGATGATGGAATGCAGCGTTACCGGGTATATGGAAATGAGCCAGTAGATGTGCCTCCTGAAGACCTTGTGTGCGTGGAGGTAAGTAAACCAAGCTTGGTGGATGCAGAGCCCGTAGAGCAGCACCGTGGCCACCGACCCAATCGTGAGGAAAACAATTCCATACGCTCCCAGGGCTGCTCAATGACTTCTTGATGAATCTCCTTCCAACTAATTACACTAAAATTCGAGTTAAGTTTTCAAAGATTTTTCCTTGTTTGCCTGATACGAGATTTTTTCCTTTTGAATTTACAGTTTCTAAAATCAGAGTAAGCTGTGACATTTATTGCTAACAAAGATAACTCTACTTCTTCCGAACAGTTTCTTACCTGAACTTGCATCAGAGAAAACTTATCAGGCATTGTTTGCACGAATGGAATGCATTATACTTAAACTCAATTCACACAGCCTTACTAGGTTACTCTGTATAGGATAGGAGGTCTAGACACAAACAAAACATGACTTATCCTTGCCTAATATAGAACCAAAATATCTCAAGATGGTGAATTGAATATATTGAGAGACTCACCATTACTGTACTCGGTAACTGTCGGGATGTAGTTGCGCCTGGGACAGCTATTCGTCTCATTCAAATCGAGACCCAGCGTTGTGTTCTGAACTGAGTAAAAAAGGGAAATAATTAACATTATGGAATACTGCGCAAGCTGGAATAAATGGAACAAATGAGAGATGTTTGTACAAAATTAAAGTGTTTCTTCTTAAAAAAAAAGAGAATCGCTAATGTCTGAGATAAACGCAGTGATGAAAGAAGAAAGGGAATGAGGAGGACAACTAAAAACTATATGACACATCGCTTGTTCAACACGATGGCTGGCAGTGACGCAAAACCATACGACACATCCAGAGATGTGCTGAATAACCAAATATTGCGCTTTCTTGTAACATATCGAGGTGAAGGCTCTAGCCTTCCCAATCACTTATATTTACCTCCATTGAACAAAAAAAAATGCAAAATACTTCTATCGTCAAAGTTTATCTTTTCAAGATTGCTGCTTCAAAGTTTTTAGTCTGATCAAACAATCTTAAATTGTTAGCTCCAATTCTTATACCTCACAAAGTTAAAAACATGTTGGCGAGTAGTATAGTTGAGGTTATCAAAAGATAATGGATAGTCTACCATTGCCCCTATTTGTAAAGTTTTACTAAATTGCTGTAGTTATACGCACTTATTTGGTCGTAATATTCAGCCATGATATTAGTTTCCACGAATATGTTATGTCGGAGATTATTTGAGTTTAGGCACCGGGGAAGCTCGTAAAATCTGCGTAGTTCTCGTGACACTTTGAATGTGAATAGTGTAAAAAGTGAATTGTTTTACACTTGACTCAATTATTCTGAGTCTTTTCTAGGCGGCTGCCAATGAGTAAATGAATTATCATAGGGACGGCGCTACTTAAATATTTTCGACGTGCTATGCGGCTCACCTTGAAGTCCTTATCGCGGCGATGAACAGACTGCGTGGCTCGCACTATTGCATTTTACAGTCCTAAGCCCTATACACTTTTTTCGGCAAATGAACTGGTTTATCAATCCCCTATAAGTAATCAAACACTTCTAATATATATTGGTCCATAGTGAAACTTGGCTCTCATGTAGCTAGAGTTTATTAACTCAGAACCGCATTGATACTGAATAAATTTCACATTCAAGTCAAATTTTTGTGTTATCAGTTGCCCAAACCGCCGGAAGCCATTATTCCTTACGGATTATCTAACCGCGAAATTGAACCCTACCATCATGTCATAGCTCGTACCAGATATTCCTACAAAATTTGGAAGCAGATTAAATTTTTTGCTCTTAGCTCTCACCATTGGTTTCTGGTAATGAAATTTAATATTTTATTAACTTCATTAACGTACTTACGTTTGTCGATATTCTCTTGTTCAAAGGCGAAATCGTGGATCTTTGACTTCCAAATCTTTTCAGAATGGAGGGACTTGTGAGTGGTCCTGCAACGCAAAATGGTGATTTTTCATTTTAATTGGAAACGAAGGGACGCAAAAATCCTTAATAATTCCGATCATGTTGTGCTGCTAATAATTAGTTATGCTCCAAATTTCATGCAAATCCGTTCAGAATTGAGTGATTTATGAGGGGTTCTGCTACGCATTAGTTGCAGTTTGCGTTTGAACCGCTGTCGAGCTCAGAGTGTCGATCCGGTGTGTATAGCTTGTGCTATTTTTGCTTTGCTTATAGCTCGGCTTTAACATGCTGGAGGACACATCTTTGGTGTCATTCTGGGGACTCTTCACTAGGATCTAGTTGAGACAAACATGTTAGTAATTTTGCAATTTCAATAGGATAAACTAAAATGCATTGCGCTATGATCTGTCACATCAAAATCTATCCATCCTTCCACCTTCCACCTCAACTAAATTGACCTGCTGACCTTCAAACCCGCGGAAGTTGCTTAATTATTATTGTCACAATCTGCTAGTAAATTATTGTGTATAGTTACCTATTTTGATACGGTGAGAATTTGAGAGAAAGACGTGCAATCTTGTAACAGTGACTCATTCTTTTTATATTGAAATATTGTTATACTCAGCCGTTATACTTCTGTATATACTTAGAGTGAAGTACAGTATGGTCCTCTCCAGCGTTGGCCACTCCATTTTGACCGCAATAACTGCACTTCTTTCAGATCTTCAATACACGTTCGTTGTCATTCACATTTTTTATTTCCAGTAGTGCTAAAATTCAATGCTGGCTGTAGGAATACGAGGGTATATCAAGAATGCACACTGCACACGTATCCCACATTGTCCCACATCTAACTTGATGATGTTAGAAACCCGCGTCTGGCGACTGGACAAGTGCTTAAGGGAAGACCATACAAAAGTTAACCAGCTGTCCTCGCCTAGAGCCAGTGCGATCCTTAAAAAAAGCTGTTCCAAGGTCACTTCTGGAAGTCGTTCATATTCATAAGCAAAGCAGGTAGAAAGAAACTGAAAAATACGCGAAAATTTATTTTGCTCATAGCCTATCTGTGAGCTGATGAGCACCGTTATACTCTAAATTGACCAAATTTACAGAGTGTTGTGTGAGTTTTAAACTGCTAACCGCGCTCATCGTTTGAAACTCGTACTGAGTAGAGATGGCTAATTTTTTTTTTTTTGCACGGCAACGTTGGTGGTGCGTTGACTTTTTCATAATCGAATTTAAAGCCAAGAGGCTTCAAGTTAAAAGCATTCACAGTACAACCCAGTCTTTATTATAATGCTAACCAATATTTCGGCAAAAAATTATGACTCCAAAGGTGATGGGAATGCGAAAGTCAACGCGACATCCAAAATAAGCGACTGCCAGTCCCGCTCACCCACCGCTGCGTATATAGTTGGCGACGTTAGTCTGCCGGGTTAATGAATTGGTGTTATAATTCGTCAGAATATGTTGCCCTTTTTCACGGGTTTTCAGCGATTCCGTGCGCTTTAAAACAGGTTGATTTTAAATTCGAATGATTCATTAGTGGACACTCTTTATGGGCGGCATTTACATTTACTTCATGGGCGCCACTGTATCTTATTGTAGGCAGAATACAGATATTGCCACTTCCATCGTGCTAAGTACAGGTTGATTCACGAAAACTTCCTGTTTTGTTTTCGCGACAAGCAGTCAGATGTTGCTGGAAAAGGGCGGATAGTATTTCATATCAAAGGCAATGTCATAAAATTTTGTGTCTTGCCTTGTCAATTGCCACTATGCATTGTATAAGGGAACAGCGTGCGTTTGCTGTCGAGGCGTACTTTCCTAATAGCCGTTTTGCAGAGTAGTCTACGTCTGGGGCCGTATTATCAAAACTTCGTATGTACGTAAAATCGACTTACGAGTGGCGTAAGTGCTGACTTGATGACGCAACTCTAGTACAGAAATTACGCCACGGAACAGTCATTGTCTAAAACGCTGACGCCTACGGATCAGCCTCCGTAATAACGAAACAGACTAGTCAGCTGCGCATACACAAGGAAGCGTTCAGTTTTCTTCGCTGCGTTTATCCTATATCCACTGCTCCTTCTGAAAGGAGCAGTGTCAAGCGTGTGCTCCATGTATGCCGACGACACAAAAGTTTGTAATACAATGTAGAATGCGTCAAAATGAGTGCAACTGCAAACATGGTCTTGATGGTTTCGTTGACTGACACGTGTCAGTTGCTTTTTGGTGCTGGCAAGCGTTAAGCACTTCCCAAGCGTTAAGCTTCCCCCGTTAAGCACAGGTACGAACACCGATTCGACACTTCAGCGAACTCGCGTGCGAACTCGCCTGCGAGCTCGAACTTCATTTTCAACTGTGGCACTCATAACTCCTTCAATTATGAACGGATTTTATTCAAATTTGAAATATAAGTAGATAATATCAGTACGCTAGTGAAGCGCCACTTGAAAAATCACTTAGGCAAATATAACTCAAAACCCTGTCGTGGGGCCACATTGGACTGGTCTTCAGAGGCTCCCGCAAATCTCCAACGAAACGAAAACGACTCTGTTGTTTGTCGCACCCGTGCGCCGAAATTTGGAAACGCCCTGTGTTAGCCGAAAATTGAAAAGGACAAAAATTTAGGCGAGAGTGTACATCAACCTACAACAAGGATCATTCCAGAATTAAAGTTTAAACCTTATAAAGGAAGATCAGAGCCTTTAAGCTTGCAAGCCTTTCACATAGACGTCTGCGTAGTGAGCTCATTGAAGTATACAATTATACTTGTGTCTATACAAGATTTTAGAAGAATTACAAGGAAATTAAATAAAAACAAACACCGGGGGCCACAGTTATAAAACAAAAAGGCTGCGATACAACTCGTAATTGTCTCAACATTCATTCATGCGACAACACTCCTCGCTTCGTGTTATTGACATTTAGAATAACTGACTCCCTGCCGACATCGTTGTCCCGAGTATGAACGTGTTCACGAAAGGAGTAGATAAAGCTATGCAGAAGTACGTATATGTTTCGGCTAGAAGAGCCCTTGACAAACTTGTGGATGATCAGCAGCCACTTAGCTTTAACGTCAGTTTGGCGAGGTATGTTCAAAAAGACAGTTATTAGATCTATATGAGACAAGGCAGGAAACAAGAATCGGCAGAAGACTCGTTTTTCGAAGCCGACATTACTATGCTACTATAGACGCTGCGTCATTCTGCTCATGAATGATACTACCTCAAGGTTAAAGACGGTTCACACATGGTTGAATTAATACATGTATTAATTCAACCATGGGTTCACAGCAGTGGTCATTCATCCCATGGTTGAATTAATTCAACCATGATTCATCCTGAGATCGTAGCGTTGACGCCAGTGGTGTCTGACCAACCTAACTACATTTAATCATTCACTTATATTGTGTGTCTAATTAATTTAGAGGTTTACTCTAATGGCAGCCTGGAATTAGCCAGAAGTGAAAAAAACCCTCGAAATTACTCTTAATTGTACTAGTGCACTTGTACTCGAATTTGAAATTTGCCTAAGTCTGGCAACAAGAAAAATAAACTTTAACCCAAACCGAACATGAAGCGTATTAGGTTGTATGCAAATCTACCTGAATTGTTTTAATGGAAATGTACTCTTTCGGGTATTCTTTGAAGTTGGATCAGCTTAATAACATTAAGTATCTATCAACGAAACAGAGAGCGAGTTATTCTTTCGGAAGCTTATCAGTGATACGAGTAGGCACGCACTATCAGTGAAATTGCAATAAAAGCCTATAAGGGATTACTCCACATTCTTGAGTAGCTACGTCATATACCGCTTTGAGCGAGGTCGATTGTAAACTAATTGAAGTAGCGAAGAACTGAGGATGGAGTAAAAGATAACGAAACAGGCCAAATTACGAAGCGTCTAGGACCATTCTAACATCATTCGCTATGTTATATAACAATTAGCTGTCCAGTTCTTTTGAGTTTAATTTTGACTAGATTTAATACATGGCTCACCAAGATTCTACGACATTTACCGTGGCAATTTCATTTTAATTCCAAATTCTATCCTCAGTAAACGTGATCAGATCGCATTATCCAAAATAATAATATTTTAGATGTACTGTCACTAATCACATCAAAGGCCAACATGGACAAGGTAAACAATAAGACCATGTCTGCACCACTAAATTAGTCTCGGGTTGTCGGGGTAGACAGTGCGACGCCAGACGAGCGGCGTGGCTGGCGCTCACGCCCTGAAAGCTTAAGAAAATGTAATTAATACTAGGGCAACGGGACTAATAATGCAACAATGACAGGCTAATATTCGATACCTGATTTACCTGCGGATCGTTTTTCTTAATTATTATGACTGTAGGGATCTTAGCTGAATATTCAGGTGTACTGTGGGAAATGTGGGGGAATAAGAACAATAGTAACTAATGTGTGGGACGTAGAATAAGTTAAAGTGTTGACGATCCCGTAACAGTGTAAGAATTCAGAGCTGACTTGTTGTGGGACCAAAGCAAGGACTAGTTTAGTGAATTCAGACAACTGCAGAGGTATGTGTAACTGTCGATATTTATCAATATTGTATTTATTTGGTGTGTTGATACTATGTGAGATATCTAGTAGGGAATTACCCGACTAATTGTAAATTTGATTTTGTTCATGTAGGGAGAAGTCAACCCGGATAGAAGATCACAAGAGGCTAGCAAGAAGATTCAGTGTTGTGCATATATTATTTGTTGCTGTGTTGTGAGGAACCTCTACTGTGCTGTGCCCTAGCATATGAAAGAAGAGTTCTGTACCCTATTACGATGCCCATATGTTAACGTTAACTTGTTCGATTTCTTAATTTAAGTGTTCACTTTTCATCAATATTAAATTAATTGTGTTAACTCGAGATCATTATTTAACCTCGGCACGAAAGATCATTACAATGACCATTAGGATAGAGATTGGAGCAAGTCCTTTTATTTACTTCACATATTAGGAATGCCAGTGATTTAAATTAGAAATGACGTTTGGTGAACAGATCACGGTCATCTGGCTAAGGCCGACAAACCTCATCAGCCAAGGACATCAAACCGCGTGTTACGGGCAAGGACATCAAAGCCAAAGACATCAAACCGCGGCTGGTACTTTCCATTGAAGAGCAGTTGCTCCTGTACAATTCTGATGCTACTTTACTACGACTCCAACCAAGGCTGACGTCTCGCATAGCATAGCGTCTCAGCGTTTATTAGGCCGTAGGCCTGCCGCCGCGAGCAATTCCACGTTTTTTCCCTACTTGAAGGCAGTCCAGATTCTCAATAAAATAAATATAAACAAAATTCAAAATTATCAGCTTTGAAAGGTCTAAAATCGATTGTCTATATACGAAAATTCTGTCTTCAATCTAGTAAATTAGGTCTGGAACCTTTTGATGGTGAAAGAAAAGGCCGTCAATCCATCGAAGCGTAAATCTATTAGATTAAACATGAGAATAATGTTCCTCTCTCAAAGCAGTAGAAATTAACGGCAGCAATGGTGACGAGTCAAACACAATTTCGAAGAAAATTTCATTTATCTTTGAAGCAAAATTTTTAGACATGACAACAGCTTTTTTACATAAGTGGAGTTATTGGATTAAAATTCAATTAACATCATTACAAAATTTATTACAATTTATTTCTTCTGATTTGAGTTTACACGGGCAAAAGTATACCTCGCTCAAATTTCAAGCAAATATATACATAAAATTACACTATATTTTACCTGGTCAGTTTTCGTGACATGTCGCTTTGCCAGGGTAAACCATATCGGCAACGCAAGAAATTCCTCGACATCCAAGCAATATACATTATTACTGCAAGACCGTTTTTAAAAATTTCTAGACAGAACTTTGGTCAAATTTTCTACGATGACACCACGTTGAGCCCGTCAATAGAGTAGCATTGGCTTAGTTGTTAAGCAAAGAACGTGGCTAATATAGATCTTTTAACCACAAAAAATTTCAAATTGATTAAAGACGGCGGAGCGCTCATATTTTTAGTTTTTCATTTAAAATCAAAACATAGGTATAACAATTAATTACAATCAAACAATTATTATTATTACAATCAAATAATCATATACAACTATAGTGCTCGCGCCAAAAAAAATTATCACAGAAAACCTGTTAAAACAAATACATCCTAAAATGTTAGTTTTTAAGATGAATGAAACTTGATGAATGTGAAATCAAAATTATCTCATAATACTAATACTAGTTTATTAGCTATTCGATACACGAAAAAATGCGCAATTACTTTGCAAGATCAACCTGCAACGAGGTAAAAAGATTACATTGTAAAAGAAAAAAAGCTTAAGACTGCGATCATAACAGGGAAATGTGACTTTCAAAAGAAAGGAAGACAAAGTAATTCTAGTTGGTAGAAGCGACTAGACAAAACGAAAAAAAATATAAGTCAGTACTCACTGCAGTAAGTGACAGCGCGCATTTTCTCGCCGACGAAAACGTGAAGTCACGAACGGACAGACGGACGGACGGACATGGCAATAGCGACACCTTTTTTCAACAAATGAGAAAATGCGCTAACAAGATATTTCATTGCTAGTAGACAGGGTGTACACTTTTCAGCGACTCGTCATCGAGGCAGCAACTCGTAGCATTGCACAGTATCGTCGCGACCGCAAACATACAAGCAACTTTGGAACACTAAAGGAGACGAAAATATTTCACCGGGATACGAGAGCTCATAGACAGATTTAATTTGGATCCCATAAAATAGATCTGCGGCGCATTCATCAATACACTTCAATGAAATCGGAGAAATTGTATCGCTAGGACTGTGACTAAAATCGTTCTTCTTCAGCATTTTACACTCCCTACTTATTATTGATGGCTTCTGACTAACATGTGGAGCTTCTTGCACACTACCTCCACACAACATAATGTCTCTACCGTCCACGTTACTACTAACAACTCCAGATTCATCTCGGACAAAAGACAATTTTAGAAAATTCATTTTGCCATTGGTCGCAGCAACTACAGCTACAGTTGCACCACGACAGTTGTAGAGGAAGGGCGTTGCAACAACACGACAGTCGACATTGAAGTGACCTAATACAATGCCTAACTCATTGACGAATGAAACGCATCCGCTGTTATCTCCAACACAGATCACTTCGGATTGTTTTAGTTGCACCACTCTTGGTGTGCAGTAACATTGGTTCGACAGATCACAACACCACAGAAATTCACCTTTTGGAGACAAAGCTGTGAGATTTCCGTCAACGCTTGTACAGAGTACACCTCGCGAGAAGCAAACAAGTGATGAAAATACAGGGGCATTCAAACTGAATTTCCAGATTAGTTTTCCCGTGTATTTTTCGTAGCCCGCGACTACTCCCTTGAGACAAGCAGCGAAGACAGTGTTATCGCCGACGCAGGGAGACGAGAATATACTACCCCCGGAATGAAGATTTTTCCAAATCAAAGAACCATTAGGATTCAAACAGTAAAAGTTTTTATCATGACTTCCAAAATAAATGCAACCACTTTCATAGTCAACTAAGGGAGAGCATTTGATTTCAGCATTAGCTTTGAACTTCCACAAGAGGCTGCCGGAGACAAGACTCATGCAATAAAGGAAACCAGAGTAGCAGGCAGCATAGACATGAGAGGCAGAACGATCAACGGTGGGTGACGCTTCCAAGCGATTCTCCAGCACATTAGACCACCTGACAGCTCCAGTGAGGGCATCGACGCAACAGAAACGGCCTGAGTGTGAGCCTATCAACAATGACGCTTCCGAATGTGACTGGCTTTGCACTAATATGGGGGTCGCGTCTATACACTTGCCCAAATTCAGAGTCCACGTTAATCGATCTGAATCTGGCAAATACGCTTGGCTTAAAACAGCATTCTTGCCCTGAATCAAAGAACTTACCTTAGATAACATAACATAGACGAATTTATCATTATCTGTTTTCGTTTTTTTCGCGTTTTCTCTACCACTGCTTTGATCTTGAACTATGCTAGTTGAATTCTCCACACGCAGGTCAGAATGACCTACAACAGAACGCTTGACACCTTCTAAAAATACTTCATAGCGATCCATGAGCAGCGAGTCCAACATCCCAAGCAATTGGCTCCCAACTCTGTGCTGCAATATTTCCAAGAATTCGACAGCTCGCAAGGAATCCATGCCTAATGAAATAAAGTTCATATTTTGGGTGGGCTTGCAACTACAATAATCAAACCAAAGATCATCAACCACTTGCACTAAAAACTTTTCTGTTATGGAGCCTTTACACTTAAGCAAAGTTAGATCTTTCAGCATGCGTTTGTCGTCTACCTTACCGTGAGCAGTGAGAGGAAGAGAAGATAGCATATAAACCTGACATGGCACGCTTGTTATTTTACGCACAGAGCGACGCAATGTTGATATTTTCAAACTTTCTTGATTGCCAGCAACACAGAAGCAAAAAATCATATCACCTTCACTTATTGCACGGCACATTTCAACACCAGGCACTGATAAACATTCTTCTTCTATGGTATTGAGGTTAACTTTTTGCCCATAGCACTTCACCACCCTATTGCAGCGACCCATGTAATAGAAAACATTATTTATCTTCCTACCCAAATCACCCGAGGGGAATAATTTAACACCATCGTCATTTATAAGAGGAATAACCTTTTTCAAACGAACGTCACCCATAGACTTACCAGGTATTTCTGGCAAAGTTCCCGACAAGCTCTGCGGCTCCCTGACTACTTCATAAACACCACATGAACTTTGGCGGCCCAAATATATTTCTCCCTCACCATTTCGGTTTAAGATCTCATCGTTCTTCACAAGGCAAAGAGTTGTTTCAGATAGAATTTGGCCCAGATCAAGTATATCGAATCCAGGCTTGGAGAATACGTCCACCACGCAATCAGCGTCTTTTGCAGGAGCTATCATAATGTTATCTGTACTCTGAGTAGCGAAAGAAATTTTCTTGACAGATGACCAAGACGAAACTTCAGAGATACCATAAAGACTGAAAATATCTATAGATAAAGAATCTCTAAACAGTGATTTTAATAAAGTTATTGGAGGAGTCTCCCCTCCAAGAGCTAACAAGCGTGTGTGGGAGTCAATGTGAAATATGCTTGCTGCAAGATTTTGTTGACTCTGCCATAAATTAAGAAGTGAAGGTGTTATCTGAAAAACTGAAACTCTTAATGTCAGTAAAATATCTATGATGGCAACTGAGGAGATAATATTTTTGTCAGCTACAACAAGATGAGAACCAGCGTTAAGGCTCATAAGGATGTTAACAATCGAGGGATCAAAAGAAAGTGGAGCAGCACTAAAAATTACATCTGTCCGGACGATATAAAAAATATTCAGAAGATCTGAAATATTTGGAGCAACACAAGAGCGTGGAACGAACACCATCTTAGGAATACCTGTCGAGCCTGAAGTTGTAATTACATAAGCTATCTCCCATAGTTTAAAATCATTGAAAAATGAACATGGGTTCTGGAAAGAATGTAAAGTAAATTTTTTATCAACAACCTTGACTATCTTAGTTAAGTATGAACTTTCTTCCCCAAGCCAAGAAAAGTCAAAGTTAATAGATTCTTCAATAAGCACCAGATCAGGTTTGAGGCATGTTAGCATATCGCGCGTGTTGCTTGACTCCAACTGATCAGGATCAATATAAAAATAAGAGTCAGAGTTGAGAGCGGCCAGCAGTACAGCAATGGTGGAGCTGTGCATTCTACCACAGACAACTACAAGCAGGGGTCGCTGTTGCTGGCCAGCTGACGATGGCTTTTGTTTATGGGAGAGCTCCTTGGAGACATGTACCACAGCATCACACAGCTCGCCATAGGAGATGGTGCTGACTGCTCCAGAACCTGCGCAAATGTTTCTTCATTATCATCATTTTCTTTTAGAAATTATTAACAATTGAGTACCAAAATATTTTACACAATTTTGATTTTTGTCTAAAAAAATACACAAACAAATCAGTAAAAAATTATTGATCTATTTTGATTTTACCAGAGCGCTAATACACAAAGTATATACCTACAACTTAGTGAAATACCTATGATGGTAACTGAGCAGATAATATTTTTGTCAGCTACAACAAGATGCAGTTAAGAACAAAAGAATGGATTAAGAACAGAATGGAACTAATGGATTAAGAAAAAAAAAATAGGTACCTACACTTATTGTGGTAAGAAACAATGACTTTGGCCAAGCAGAATATATTCTAAAATCTTTAAGAATTAAATTGTCAAGAAAATAGATACTAGTTACCATCAACTGGGGTGACTTCGGCCACACCTACAACAGAAACAAATGGCAGCAAAACAAAAAAAATAAATGTTGGCCAAAGTGACTGGGGTGACTTTGGCCTCCGGGGTGACTTTGGGCAATGTTTATTATTTTGTTTTTCTACCATTTGTTTCTCTTGCAGGTGTGGCCCAAAGTCACCCCCGGTGTCTGAAGTCATCCTAGCTGATGGTACATTGTTGGGACATTCATACCAACAAATAGGATATTAAAAATAGAAACTCAAATACAACTGACCATGAATGTAAGTGATGGCTGGGAGGCTAGACTCTGGAAACTCCTGAAAATGTTTCAGCAGCGATCCAGGTTGCATATCAATGCCATTCATTTTATTACTCATGAGAAAGATAAGTTGAGTACCGTAGTAGATCTGTAAAATTTGAAACAACCAAACTATTTGAAAACATTAATTATATTACACATACTTGAATCACATGCATCAGCAATTATTTAAAAGCAACAACAGTCTGCTGTAGACAATCAAGGACTAGCAGCAACAAAAGATTTCTCAGAGGACCTATTGCATTCATTCCTATGACTGCACATGTCAGATTTTGTGGATACCGTCACACACATTATGATTCCTACTAAAATTATGAAGCTCAGGTATTAGAGAAAAATACAAATTAGAATGTTTCAAGAAAAAACTTCCTACACACTTAGGATTGAAATAATCCTAATTTTTATCTATAATCTCATGGCACCAATGCTACACCTTTGAATATTGAATTGGAAATCTTGTCGCTCCAAAGTCTGAATTTTTGTTTCATAAAAAAATGCGCAGCTCTCAAAGAAGTCAAAATTTTTAACAAAATCTGCAGTTATGCAGTTTAGCTCCACCCTTTTGCCAAAACTTCAGCACATAAAACGTTTTGGAAACGGTCTCATAGTTGCAGTTATGATTTGGACCTCTTAACCAGATCTTTTAAGCACAAAACATTCTTGTTAATTATCTTCTAATCATATTTGCAAACTTGTGGTTATGTTAAACTGTCAGTTTAACATGACCACAGCAATGAAACCATGACAGTAATGAACATTGCATAGTTTCATTGACAGCAATGAAACTATGACTCATCTTTGACAAACACATTATTATGTGCTAAATTGCACCTTCCAAGGCTCAAAAAATGAGTTCATAGCTTAAAAAATAAACTCACAGCGACAATTAAAAAAATTCACAGCTACAAAAATACAGTAATGGCTTAGAGAGTATATTTTTTTCATAGTAGTCAGCAGTCAAGTTTTGCATTAAAAAAACTTGTATTTGATTACCGACTAGAAATTTTGAAGGAAATCATGATCTTCAATTTTATCAGTGAAATTACATTACTTTTTTTTTATAGAACCTTCCCACATGCTTTGCAATGCCAGACTATATGCAAAAAATTAAAATTGAGACACATTCAATCATAAGTTCTGGACATAACTTGCATAAACAAGATTGGATAAAGAAATTGAGAAAAGCCAAGTATACATAGAAGGGCACCAGTGAAGACACCAGTGAGCATGTTTGGGACAGACCTAAGAGCCTTCATGAGGACTATTGCAAACCAACACATTGAGTATCAACAAATGAACTACCTAGTACTAGCACTTGATAATTCTTATAAGTATTCACAATCTTTAATATTTAATTTGTTTCTGCTTTAACCCAACTGGCTTTCTCCCTCAGAGGTTTGCCAGCCCGCCTTGTTTTTATTTTATTTTTTTGTTTGTCTACCTCATTTCGTAAGGTATATTTGTCATCACAAGAAACCATCCTCTGTCTTGATCATAGTCTTGCATGGGAGATACAGGCTGTCTTGCTGGGTCTGGGTTTGGTCCCCCAGCACCAGCAGCAGGCTCTGGCTCAGCAGCCTCTAGTACTGCTACTGTGGAGGTGGGTGAGTTAGCTGAGTGTGCTGCAATGATGGAGGAGGATATTGCTATTGAATGTGGTTTCGTTATTGAGGACTCTGATCTAGATAGTAGCATCATTGAGGCCACTCCTGTTGCTGTTGTGGGTAGACGCAAGCGCAGGGACCGTGAAACTGATGGGTCAAGTGAGAGCATCTCTAGCAATAGAGCCAAGCATGCAGCTGTGGCCGATGCCCGAAACGATAGTCAAATCCTTCTAATGGTACCTAATCAGACTAATCCTACCAATGCAAATGGAGCTTTGAAAGTGAAGCTACCATCAAATGCTACCTTACTGAGTGCTGGTTCTGGCCAGACCATTCTAATAAGGCCTCAGGGACCCAATGCCTCAAGTTTTCTAAAGGACCCAGTCGGTCTTGCTAAGGGTATTAAGAGCTCACCTTTTGGTGCAATTGGGGACCTGATTGTTCGCACTAACCCACGACATCAGCTAATTGCCTTGCTATTGAAGATATTACTTGCTTATCCAGATCCCGGAATGGAATCTGTGAGCCATCGGCCACCCTGAAAACATTTGAGGGACAAACTTTGCCAAGCAGGGTAAAAATTGGGTATGTATCATACTCAGTAAGGCCTTTTGTAGCTCCTGTGAAGCGATGCTATAAGTGTCAAAGATTGAACCATTTGGCTGAGGGTTGTGACTCTCCCAGGAGATGTCTTTTATGTGTGGTACCCCATGAACATTCTATGTGTACATCAGCAGCAAAGTGCTGTGTGAACTGCAAATACCCACATCATGCAAATGCTCCAGAGTGCCCTTTCATCATGAAAGCCAATGCAGTTGAAAAGCTGCGTGCTACTGGCTGTTCCTATGCTCAGGCTGTGAAAGAAGTCGAGGTTGCTGAACACAGACAGGTTCCAAATCAATATAGGGCAATGTCAAGTGCTCCTTTTTCCACTCCCTTGGCCAGTGTATCTCCTTCCTGCCCTCCACCAGGGGCCCTTTCCCCTGGTACAATTCCTGTAGATGTGCACCAAGCACAATGTAGTTACTCAGACTCTGGTTTCAGATCCAGACCACTGACAAATCTACATGTTGCTAAAGCTAATACTTCAGCTGAGGCTGTTGATAATCAAACTGGTGAAAACAATTTTGCAGACCTTAGAAGAGTAATGAAGGAGGAGCTAGCTTCTAGTGAGAAACGTCTTAGGGAAACCATTTGTGTCACTTACTGAGTTTTCAATTAAATTGGGGAAATTCATGAATGAGGTGTTTAAACTTAATCTACTGAGTGAAGGTTCTAAGGAGAGATCTCTGCTCCTAATTAGCCTTCTGAGAAATGCTTTTGGGCAGGAGGTTGGTGAGGTTCTGCAGAGGGAGTGGGTTTCTGCCAGTTGTGGTACTTCTGGTCATGATCGGGTTCTGGAAGCATCTCCCGAAGGTAGTGCCTCAGATTTTGTGCAGCGCAAAAAAGTAGTTGATTGAGTGTCTGTTGGAAGGTTGATTTCTCCTGTTGGTCCATCACCCTCTCAGCTGACTCGTGTGGTCTCCAAGTAAGGTGGATGAGCTAAGGGGCAGGGCAAAAGTAAGAGTGCAGCCAGTTCAGCTCATTCTCAATGAGTTACCGGTACTCACTAAAATCTCAGTAATTGACATGACAGCATAAGTGGGAACTAGGGTTAGAAATAGTGCAACTTAACTGTAATGGCCTACGTGGGAAACTTACAGATATCAAGCTCTTTCTGTACAAAGAAAAGCCAGATGTTGTCTGTCTCTGTGAGACATGGTTGAAAGTGCATGAGCCTTCTTTTGTAGGTTATTCTGCTTTGTGGTCTCACAGGGAAAATGCATTGAGAGGTGGTATGGCAATCCTTACTTGCAGAGACATTGAAATGAAGAAGTTTGATCTTCCTCCATTTCCTAGGGGTGCAAATCTTGAGATCCAGTCTGTAAAAATCTGTACTGCTCTTGGCTGGATTGCAGTTGGCAATTTTTACAATCCTGGCAAGAATGTGAGCTGTGAAGAGGAAGGCTATTACTTATCCAAGCTTGCTGATAATTTTGTGTCAGTGGGCAATTTCAATGCATATTCCTCATTATGGGATGCTCGGGGAAGGTCAAATTGTACTGGAAAATCTATCAAGGCAGCCATTGAAGCTCTTCCTGTATGCCTCCTGAATGATGGCAGCTTCCCCACATACATAGATAATTGCTGTGGTACCACCTCTTGTCTGGACTTGGTCATGCTCAGCTCACATCTGTCCACCAGAGCCACTTTGACCCAGGGGCCTGGTCTGCGGAGTGACCATTTTCCAATCTGCTGCAAAATTGGCATTAAGGTGGTCAAATCTTCAGAAAAGACCCCAGTTTGGTGGAAACTGTACCAAGCAAATTGGTCACAATATCAGCAACTTCTTGACAAGGCACTGGTTGTCTCAGAGTATGGACCTAGAGATGCTGACAGTACCTATGCTTCTCTGTCAAATTCCATTTTGCAAGCCGCCTCTCCTGCAGTGCCCCGTAGCTCAGGAAAAAGACACTGTTGATTCTTCACACCTTGGTGGGATGGTGAGTGTTCCAAGGCTGTTGCGCTTAGACGTAGAGCTTAAGGCAAACTGTGGTGCTCCCCTACTCCATAAAATTTCATCAAATACAAGCGCTGTGAGGCTGTGGCTAGAAACCTCAAAATTAAAAAGCAGCGTAATAGCTGGACGGAGTATATAAACACCCTCTCTTCATCGACAACCACTCAAGAAGTCTGGAGGAAAATACACAGCATTCAGGGTAGGCCTATAAGCAGTTTCTCTTATCCATTGCAAGGTGCTGCCCATGATGACAACTACACCAAAGCTAGTCTTTTTGCTGGCCATTTTGCTCCAGTTGCTCCTATGACAGGTCATCAAGCAAGTGTGGATGCTGTTTCAGAAGTTGTGAAAGCCATAGCCAACCTCAAACAGTACAGCTGTGTTCCATTTACAATAGGGGAGTTTTCTCAGGCACTCAAAGCTCTCAAAAATACAGCTCCTGGTCATGACTCAATAATGAATGTATTCCTCTCAAAGGCTCCATTGCGGTGCAAGCAAGAGCTATTTGCACTTCTAAACACCAGCTGGATTTCTGGGCTTGTTCCAGATGCATGGAAGCAAGGAATTATTATCCCTATACCAAAACCAGGGAAGCCTCCAGAACAGTTAGCAGGATACTGCCCTATCACACTCCTAACCTGCATAGGCCCCTGGAATGCATGGTTTTACACCATCTGGAATATACTCAAGAGAGTAAAATGGTTATGCACCTTGGTTTCCATAAGGGCAAAAGTACAATTGATGCTTTGCACTTGCTAAAGAATGCCATAACCTCTGCTCGAACTGGTCGTGAATATTGCTTAGTGGTATACTTGGACATTGAGGGAGCTTTTGACAGTGTCTGGCATGATGGACTGCTTTTTAAATTACACGGCATTCGAGTGGACAACCAGATGCTGGCCTGGTTGTACAATTATCT